CTCCCCTTAAGGGGAGACGCGGGTCGAAAAGTCGCGGTTTTCCGGAAAATTTTCGCTTTTTTTTTTCCGGCTGTATTGGCATCCTTGGACTATAATCTATTACTTCTGAAAACATCAAGCTGAAATTCGCACGAGAAATTATAAAAAAATGCTTCCAAGTGGGCAGCGGTGACGCGAGAAATGCGCGAAAGTCGCTAAAAACGGCGAAGTTCGCATCGTCCTGTCGCGAAAACGACGCGTTGGCCGCCATTTGCAATCGTGCACGCATGCTGCGAAGGCCGTATCCTTCATAATTCACTAGTAGCCAGTCTCGTGCTTTCACGCGGAATAAACAAAAAACGAGAAAAACAACGCGTACGTCACGCGTTTTGAATATCGCGGCACACAGCGCGAGGCCGCCATTGGACAGCGGTGCGCTCCACGCTCCTCCCCCTCCTATCTCTCCGGCAAAAGAGCGAAGCCTCAGACGTCGCGATCGAGTTTTTCTGCGTTTCTCTGCATTTTTGCGTCATGGCAAGCCCGAAGAAGTGCAGTTCAGATAATCAAAAGTTCAGAACTCGCCACAAGTATCGAGGGAAACGGCGTCGGACGCTTCGCAAAGCGACAGCGAACGACGATGTCGCCCCCGACCAACGCCCCGACGCTCCGACTTCGGATAGGCCTAACACCGTCACCGAACCCTGCGACAGTGGTTGTGAAATAGCCGCTGCCGTGGAATTCGTCAGTGCATCCCAAAGGAAGATTGGATTCTTCGAGAGTGAACGTAGACCGGTAGATGCTGCTACTGCGAACATGCTGCTTTGCGAAATCGATGCGCTGACGGCACTTGTGGCGGGTGCGCAATGCCCAACCTGCCGCGAACAGGAAGCTCGGCGTGCGAGAGGCAGCTGGAAAGCGCAAAGGACTTTCGGCATTCCTCGAACTGTGCTGTCAAAATTCTGATTGCCCTGAATCTGCACTTTCGTTCACGCACACGTCGAGACGTACTGCTTCGGCCGGGGACCAAGGAACGAGCGCTCGTTTTGACAGCGGCAGCTCGCGTGACAGCTTTGCTGTAAACGTGAAGGCAGTTCTGGCAGCACGCGCTATAGGCGCAGGCCACGACCAACTTTCACGATTTTGTGCGATTCTCGGTCTTCCGAGCCCGATGCATCACAAGACATTCAACGGCATTTGCAAGAAGCTCCATGGTGCGGCGATGACGGCAGTGAGCAAAAACTTGCACCAGGCACGAAACATCACGAAGGACGCAGTCGGCGGCAGAGATGTGCCAGTCATGTTTGATGGCACCTGGCAGAAAAGAGGTCATAAAAGCCACAATGGAGTGGGCACAGTCGTGTCCCTAGACACGGGGCTCTGCCTCGATTTTGAAGTTCTTTCGAAATACTGCCATGCTTGCAGTATACACACGGACCTTGGGGAGGATGAAGAGATATGGCGAGCTTTTCATCTTCCAGTTTGCCAAAAAAACACTGACTGCTCATCCCATGCAATGGAACCTGCGGCAGCTGTCAATATATGGCAGAGGACCTTGTCTTATGAAACTCCACTGCGATTCACCAGCTTCCTAAGTGATGGTGACAGCAAGGCCTACACTGCAGTCTGCGAGGCAAATGTATACTGTGACACCCTCATTGACAAAGAAGAGTGCACGAACCACGTTGCAAAGCGCTTGGGAACTGCCCTACGGAAATTGGCAACGCCACTGCCACGAGGCGAAAAACTGAAAGATGCGACAATAATAAAACTACAAACATATTACAAGATCGCCATCACGAGTAACAAGGACAGTGTCCGAAATATGTACACTGCCATATGGGCATCGTATTTTCATTGCTGCTCCAGTGATGGTGCCAGTAGCCACAACTTTTGCCCCGCGGGACCAAATTCGTGGTGCAAGCACAAGCGTGCGGAAGCACTGGGGGAGCCTGCACCACGCCACACCCCAGTGTTGACGAAGGCTCAAGGATTGGCAATTATGCCTATCTACAAGCGCCTTACAGAGGAGAAACTCCTTATTCGGTGCCTTCATGGCAAGACACAGAATGCAGCCGAATCGCTGAACAGCAAGATATGGCTGCTATGTCCAAAAACAAAGTTCGCCTCCAGAACAACTGTGGAGACAGCCACCGCTCTTGCTGTACTCTGGTACAACAAAGGCCACAGGGGCTTTGAAGAAGTGCTCGAAGGCATTGGAATTCTCCCCTCACAAGATCTGGCCACACATGGTGACCACTGTGACGTCATGCGCATCAGGAAGATGAACCTGAAGCAAACTGCAGAAGCGAGGGCACACCGTCGCAACACAGCGAAGAGAGCTCGTGTTGAGGACACTGACCGCAAGAGCCGTGAAGGACCAAGCTATGGTGCAGGGGACTTCTAGACACTTGCAGTGCATTCAAGGCAAGGTACTTTTCATTGTGCCCCAATTTGATGCAAAAAGAATGATTTCCTGAATAAATGCCAACTTTGCGAACTTTCAAACTTGTTTTTCTCATTTTCATTTTTTCTGACAGTTTCACGTTTTCCGGGCAGCCTTTTAGAAACTTATATTCATTGTATAGTAACGAAACTTGGCACACATATTCTTCAACACATGCAGAATGCAAATATCTACTCTAAATTGCAATGCCTACCAGCATTAGTTGTGAAAATATTAGCTTATTGTTTCAAGGGAGATTGAAAATAATAAGTCATTCAATACAATTTTTTTTTCTTTGTTCCAATATTCCTGTGACATATCTATATAGATATTTGCACTTTTCAATCTACCAAGAGTCAAATAAGATCAGACACAGTGCTTTTACTGAAAGTTTAGTACATAAAAGAGTGCCCGCAAAAAATGTAACTTTTTGCTATTGTTTATGGCATAACTCAATAATTATAGCAGCTACACAAAAAATGATTGCATATTTGAAATCTGCATGAAAAACTATACTAATAACAAACTTTTCAAGTCTCTATTACTAGAAATAAAAAAAAACTTTTTCGAGGAGCGTCTTAAGTAAGAGTATTTAAAGCAGTTAGAATGGCGTGTATATTCATTAAACAAGACTGTAAGCTTAAGTTCGAGGACAGGCTATTTTCCAGATTCGCTGAAAATCTCTCTGCGCGCTACTGGGGTTATAATCCCATGTCACCAAACAAGACTCGAAAAGATAAAATGTGGTTATATTCAGGGTCAAGAACAACTCCCTTTCATCATACACTTTTATAATGAAATCAGAACATCCCACCTGGCACTTAACTGGGAACAGATAAGACGCACAGGTCCTGCCTACACAAACTGACAACAAAGCGTGTTCAGTCGCCATTTTATGACAGTGATCACAACGCATCTGAGCACTCTGACTGTTAGATGTGATTAGCACCACAAACATGCTTTTAGCATTGTGCTTGATGCCAATGTGCAAGCAATGTTTGTCTTAGTTGCAACATAATGCATGAACAGCAAATTTTGTCAGAACTGCCAAGGAATTTCATTATGTGTATGCTTTGTTCATGTGGGCAATGTAAGCGAATCTAACGGGCAAGATAAGCGAGGACTGAGGTTTAGGATATGACGAGACCATTATGGCTACGAGACCTCATTTTTGTATGATTTTGGGCTAATTTTTGCTATCTGCGCTGCAAAGACCATCTTTTTCTGGTTGTGATAGACTATTTCTTGTGAAATTGGCGAACTGTAGATCCCGCACTGCTGCTGTAGTTCTGCACTATGGATACCAAAGGCAATAGAGCCTGAGTTACGCAAAGATAAAGACAAGCTTTGGGGTCACAAAGACTAGATAAGGACCAAATTGAACTTGGTGCACTGCTTATAAATGTACCTTGCTTGTAATCAGCTAAGCCATTTTAAAAATAGTACTGCTTTGTTGTTAAGTTCGAGGCTTAGGCCTAGTAACGTTTAAAGCTTGAAAAACGATGCGTATATCGCACCACGCTCCATTTTCTTGGCTTGTGCTAATAGAAAAGCTTAAGTTTGAAGTGAATTCGAATAGTATGTAGCACATATAATACAGAAAGCGAGCATATTTTCTATGACGTAACTAACCTGCACAATATTTTTTAAAATTTGAAACAAGGGCTGTAAAAATGCCATCCTTTTATTTAAAGGAAGAAAAAACAACTACAAATAGTAGCAGGATTTCACTTTTAGTAGAATGCAAGTTATAATCTGTAAAGTATGTTACATTTTCAAATTTAATATACTTCATGCATATAAAAAGGTATAACGAGCTTTAAACATTAAAAATGTGATCGATGCAAGAGTAAGGTGTTCATTTCACTTCTGCGAAAGTGCAGATTTGTCTTGGAAAGGTGTTTTCACAACTTAGCACACCTTCTTTTACGGCTTAGCACACCCTCACTGGAGTGAAACCACCTTTACATAGGATTAAATGCAGACTAATATACGTCTATTCGTTCATTACGACTTCAAAATTTTCAACAATCCTAATTCAAATTAAAGCATATTCAAAGCGTTCGAATAATTGTACAAGCCCACTATTTTCCGAAAAGGCACAATTCCATTCCATGCGAAAGGCACTTAATTCCATTTTCATTTCAGTCCTCCAAGCATTGTCCCCATTCCAACCCGGGGTCGCGATAATGAGGAATGATTCAGGAGTCATACCAGTTCCAAAATGGTAAGTACACAGCAACACTGGTTCAGAAATCTACCACATGCACTGGCACAGTGAACATCGAAATTTCTGCACGGTTTAATAGACTGTGCGCAGCTAATCAGAGAAATCCGCAAATGAGCACCGAGAATTTATTCACTCAGAAAAAGTTTTGTTAAATCAGTACGTGTTCATATTATTGTACAAGTTTCCCAGTTTTGGATAATATGATTATGGCATGATGCAAAAATTTTGTGGAATCTCGAGGAATTAGTGCCACAACAACGCCACTTTGCCTGCGACTCCGAATGTGCGTGCAATTCTCGCTGCCTTCTAATGCTGAAAGTCACCAACAAACCCAAGCAAGACACGTACCTCGTTGGCGTCCACAAAATACTGGTCCAAATGCATGTCCAGCTTGAGCTTCTTCTTGATCTCTTCAACCTCCTGGAAACACAGAGTGCAACAAAAAGGTCCAGCCTATAACCTGCGTATCCCAGGCGCATCAACCATAAGCCACAAGTTCTCAAACAGGGTGTTATAGAACTACAAGACACTTATAGTGGCGTGCCAAGCGTGTTCTTGAGACGAACATGTTGCACGCTCTCTGCTGTAGCAGGTTCTTGAAGGTTATGGTGTTTGGCTGCTGACCTGAAACGCACAGGCTCAATTGCAGCCGCAGCGGCCATATTTTGACGAAGGCATACTGTGCACAATAAAGAACTCTAGACCTCTGCTATCGTTCAATTCCACAAACCAACCAACTGCAGACATTGTGTGAATTTTTTCGTGCTCAGCTTCAGAATTTGTGTGCTTGGTGGCGTGGGGTCATTTCTTGTGCTGCCCACGCAGGCTGGAGACAGCAATTGCCTACACACTGACATCACTGTAGCCCAATCGCAGTCGACCACGTTTACAACAAACTCAAAAGTGTATGCACCCATTTGTGCATTCTTCGTGCATGTTTCACCCAGGATCATGCTCAGGCCCAGCGAATAGCCTGTTCGTTTAACACTGAACCAAGAATTTCGCAAGTGACACGCGCAAGCGGCATTGCAAGACGTGGCCGCGGTGAGCACCGTCGCTCTGCAGATAAATGTGGCAAAGATGTCAGCAATGAGTCAAAATGGCATGTCCATCACTACTGGCTACCTCGCCATCTGATGTTTTCTGATGTTTATACGTTAGAGGGGCCCTGCAACACTTCTTGAGTATGGTCAGAAAACGCTGCAGATCGGCAGTAGAGGCTCCCAACAACAGGCGAACAAAATATTACAGCACAGCTTGCAGCCTATAATTCACAATAAACTATCAAAGTCAGGTAAAAATAGCTTTTTCTTCTCTCGACCAATCACGGAATAAACCCAAAAATGACTCCTAGTAAGGCCATCTATAAGCCATTATCTGATTTGAACATGGTGTGCTCGGTTGTTACAGAGGTCGTAGAGAGCGGCCGTCACTTGTCTACGTGTGTGCGATTTTGCTGAAAAAACCAGGTGCTCAAGGTCACGAAAAAAGTGCTCAAGGTAACGAGGCGCGAATGACGTTTTTTGCTTGCCCCCCTCCTTCCTGCTCAGCTTGCAGCACTTTCACAGGGACATGAGAAGAGACAAGGCAATTGCAGCGTGTGACGAATCTTTGTAACTACGCTCGTACTGAACGAATTCCTAAATTTTTGCGCTGTTGAGTTTGTGAGCTAATGTGCTTTTCCTGTGAATTAATTCTATAGTTACTCAAAGAAGTGTTTCAGGGCCCTTTTAAGGCAACAGTGTAATGGCACGAAAGCAGTTATCTATAATAGACCGGTCTCATCCGTTACCGAAAAGTGGAAAGCTCTTTGCGGCACATCGTGGTGTCGGAAAGTTGAGTGTCGCAGTAAACTGTTATACGACAAAAGTAATCGCTTTTCGCATTTATGGCTTCTTGTGTTTGAAGGCATTGTTGGTTAATGGTAGGCAGTTGTAGATGTTGAGAATGGCGTCAGAAAAGTTTGCCGTATACGATATCTTTGTTGCAAGTAAACTGCAGCGGGGCACAATCGACGGCATGCCTATCACATGCTTTAGAATGCCTGCTTTAACATTTTTTTTCACTTTGTATGCGCCATATTTTTATCATGTCGGAAGTGTTCATTATAAAAGAAGGAGGCATGTTCGCTGTACGTGGACTCAGTTTCAAAAGGCACAGTGAAACTTCGTTAAACTGTAGTTGGCCGGAGCTCGAAAAAAGTACGTACTAAACGGTAGTACTGCTTAACCGAAATAGCGTCAGGTTGCTCACTTACCTGTCAAAAAAAGAAACCTTCAGGGTGTGCGATGAAAAAACAAAAAGCGTGCAGTAATTTATTAACTTCGCGTGACAAAGTCTGTAATTTTCATTTGACGACGCGGCAGCCTAGCAGCAACGACAGCAGCCTCAAACTCCCTTATGCTGTGAGCCAGCTTTTCCGCCAGCCCCCTCTTCTCGGCAAATACCCGCACGACGCTAACGCAATGCGCACCTTCGGCCACTGTCGGACCTGGATCACCCGTGTTGTTGCTTTCCATATCGTCCTCATCACTATCATTTGGTGACATTTCGACAACCGAGGCAACAATGGCTTCGTCGGACATGTCCGGAGATGTCTGTACACCGCTGTCTGCGTCTCTGAAGTCGGGGAAGGAAATGCCTTCCGTAACGCCCTGCCACTCCAGCACTTCAGCTAGCAGAGTTTTGCAAGCTTTGTCTACGATGTCCGAAGTCTGGTCGATGGTGTCACTGGCGTCATCTGCGTCGCCCGCACACACACTGAAGCTAGCACGCTTGAAGCAATTTTGAACTGTCATTGCTTCAACCTGCCGCCCCGAGTATTCGAGCAGGTGAATCGCACCAATCAGGTCGATGGAGAATAATTTGCCACATTCAATGGCGAGAAGAAATCTGCGCAGAATATTCTTCTTGTAGAGCTGTTTTACAGCTCGAATGATGCCTTGGTCCAAGGACTGGGCAATCGCTGTTGTGTTTGGTGGCAGAAACGCCGACTTCACAGCCGTCAGGTTGTCCAGGGCGACGTGCGCCCAAGCGTTGTCTGAAATAATAACTCTTCTGTTCTTAGCCGCAAAACGACGATGAGGTGCACGTACTCCTCAAAGAGTTTTGCCGTCGTCATGCTTTGGTGCTGCTGCGATAGATGACCCCTGATGGCAACCGGGCGCCTTTAAAACATCTAGGCTTTGTCGACTTTCCAATCACAAGGAGCGGAGTTTTGTCGGCTCCAGTCATCTTTACGCAAAACGCCACTGATATTCTGTCTTTTGCATGCTTGCCGCCGGTGCACGTCTCGCCTTTGAACGCGAGCGTTTTGTCTGGTAGCAGCTTAAAGAATAGCGCCAATTCATCCATATTAAAGATGCCATCAGGTGTGTAGTCTTCCAAGATGTTCTTCAACTGACCATTTTGCCACTGCTCCGCACCATCCACGTCAGCAGCAGCACCTTCTCCCGAAACAGTCCTCGTGGTAATGCCGTGCCTCGCCTTAAATCTGGCCAGCCAGACATTGTTGCACACGATGTTGCCATGGTTGAGCTGCGAGACAAAAACCAAGGCCTTCTCCACGAGCAGGGGTCTGCTGATAGGCAGATTTTTTGACCGTGCAGCTTTTAGCCACTTCACCAGTGCCTCCTCTACCTTCGAAAACGCCGAACCGCGTAGCCGGCACCTTTTCGGAGTTGCAGCAGCACTGCTGAGCAACTTCTCTCTGGAATTCCAAATTCCACACACCATGGTTAACGGCAGGTCTTTTTCCCATGCCAGTGCCGATTTTTCGTGCCACTTTCAATAGCACGAATTATGTCCAATTTCTCCTCTATTTTCAGCACTCGATGCTTTTGTCCCAGCTTCGGCATGACGCAAGTACGAAGCAGCACAAGCACACATACACGATGTGTGAAGAACAACCCGAGAGCTGTACGGCACGGATCAACCAGAGAACACCTATGCACGGCCCCAAAGGAACAAAGAAAGCAAAGCAAGCGCACACCATGTTTGCGTGTTTGTGCAAAGCGCCATCGCATGGACAACACCAGTTGCCGGCCGGCCGAGTGCTTCTTGTTGCAGAAAAATCCAAGAGATGGCGCTCACCAACACAGCCGCCATCATCATCAACACAAACAAGCGAGGCGTGTTTCGATCTCTGGGCCTTGCTGTTCTGTCGGGACGCCCAGTCCCGCTGCCGAGGCGAGTGCCGAGGTGCCGAGTGCGCAATGACATGCCGAGGCGAGTGCGCAACGAAAATTGGAAAAACTACTTAATAACCGATACATATGCGATAAGCTGGTACGGCTTATGCGGATACAAAATGCATTATGTTCAATAGCCGCTGAGTCGTGGATTTGACTTCACTACTTTTAAAACGAAACTACTGTTTACGCGGGTACAGTTTAACAAGGTTTCACTTAGAGAAATCATAAGTGCACTGAAATACGGTTGTTATAACCGATAGATTGTTATATCTGGGATCGTTATAAGTGGGTTGAACTGTACATCAAATCTGCTCGTCTGCAAGCATTGCCTAAAAATGACCATTAGATGTTTCTCAGGCTTCTCTAATTAAGGGGGGGCGCGGCAAGTAAAGTGCCGATTTTGGTCAAAATATGCGATTTTCTGATTTATTTTTTTTCGTAATCTTCAGACCTTCAACTTCCTTGTTCTAAAATATTACAGCGAAACGTGCGCTACAAATCCCGCAAATAGTGTTTTTGCCGAGGCTAGTCGCCAAAAAGTGCGAAAAAAAAGCCCCTGAAACGGTGTTCTTCACGCCGCACAAACGCGCCAAGTTGTTGACCGTGGGCCGCCATTTTGGTAGCTTTGGAAAGAGGAGAAAGCCGGCTTCCCGATGGTCGCGGTCTCGTATTTCGCGGAGTGAAAATAAAAGCGCGAGGAGCAAGTAAAAAAACGAAAACGAAGAACGGCAATTGGCTGCGCGGGTCACGTGGTAGCAGGCGCGACCTCTTACTGGTCAAAGCTGCGCCGCGCACCTTGGCAACCTTGGAAGCGCGAGCGCATCTGCGGCCGCCGTGTCGAGAATCATCCGGCGTGCGCTTCGTTTTTTGCCAGTTTGCTGTTTTTGTGATAGTTCGCGTGCTTTTTTTTACCAAGCTTTGTTACATCGGTGGTCTCTTCTGAGTGCTTGCTCATACTGCGGTGCTATGTTGCCGCAAAAAAAGTTCCGGAGCGTCCACAAGTACGGCAAGCGTCGGAAAGCTTGGAACAAAGGGCAGACGACTGCGGCTGCCGTCCCAGTCGCAGTTCCGGACGGAGCATGCTCTTCGAGCGTCACGGAGCCTCTACTCAGACCCTTCGCTGATTGTTGTGAGGCCGAGAGTGTGGAAGGTGCCACATCGTCGTATGTCAGACCGCCGGATGCCGTCGACCGTGATGGACGCTCTCGCGAACCCGCTTGCGGTGGCACCGCGTCGGCAGCCGTTGCAACTCCGGGCGTGCGCGCGTCGAACATTCTATCGCGAGTTTCGGCCCAGATTCCGAGCAGTGAAGAAATCGCGCAGCGGGCGCAGACAAGGCGGGATGTTTTGGATGCCGTAGCATCGAAGTCCGCTTCAAAGCGGAAGCTCGAGCTTCTGAACGAAGGCTGCGACGAAAATGACGGCGGTAGGGACTCCACATTCTTCATTGTAAATAAGAAGATGCTGAACGGTCTGCTTTCGTCAGTAAAGTGCAACAAGTGCGACGAAGGGTCGATACGCCTCGAGACTACGCACTGCCTTGGACTCGCGGCGAGGATGGAACTTTTTTGTGACAATTGTGGCAGAGTGAACAGTGCGTGGTCGTCCCCGAGGTGCTCCGGGCAACAAAAAACTAACCCCCTTTGAGGTAAACGTGCGTGCTTTGAGGGCTGTGCAGTCAGTTGGCAGAAAACAATCTGCCATAAATGACATTTTTTCTGCGATGGACATTTCGCATCGAGCACTGCACCACAAGTCCTACCAGAGACTGCAAAGGAAGTACAGCCACCCTGCCACCACATCAGCTGCCACCCGCATTGAAGCAGAAAGTGCACAGAAGGTGCATGACATTTACAAGGACCTAGGAGGAGTGCCAGGCAACATTGACGTCATTTACGACGGCACGTGGATGACGAGGGGGCACAGAAGTCATATTGGCGTGGGCTGTGTAATCGAGCTGTACACAGGCTTGGTCTTGGACCACTGTGTCCTGTCCAACTACTGCCAAGGCTGTGCTGTTGGCCCCAAGCCTGGTGACGACAACTATGAGGAGTGGCTTGAGAAACACAAGCCACAGTGCCAAAAGAACACCGATGCTAATGCAGGCCAAATGGAAGTAGAAGCAGCTAGGATCATGTTTGAAAGATCGTTTACCAAGTACAAGCTTCGATACATCAATGTGCTCTGCGACGGTGACAGCCGTACGTACCTTGCCCTCACGCAAGACAAGGTGTATGGCTACATGGTGATTAAGAAACAGGAGTGTGTGAACCATGTGAAAAAAAGAATGGGCACTTCCTTGCGCAACCTTCTTGATGAGCACAAATCCAAAGGCCGAGGACTGAGCATGGGTGGCAAAGGCCGGCTGACGCAGGGCCTGATAAAGAAGTTGACGAATTATTATGGCTGGGCCATTAAGAGCCACCCCAACGATGTTCCTGGCATAGAGAGGGCCATCATGGCCACTTATTACCATGTAACATCCACAGACCAGGATCCACACCACAACCTGTGCCCAAGTGGGACTGACTCCTGGTGCCCGCACAATCAGGCATTGGCCAAGGGAGAGCCGCTGCCGCCTCACAAACATAAACTGCCCCCTCACGTGCGAGTGGCACTGCTGCCAATCTACAAGCGCCTCTCGAACAAAGAGCTCCTTGAAAGGTGTGCGCAGGGAAAAACCCAGAACGCTGTGGAGAGTATGAACAGCCTCATTTGGTCACTCCAGTCCAAGAGCCAGTTCGCCTCCCTTCGAAGTGTGGAAAGTGCAGTTGCAGATGCAGTCTGCCGTTTCAATGGTGGCTGCAAGAGTGCGCTGCAAGAGATCACTGCTCAACTGGGCTTCAATCCAGGAGACTGCTCTTTGCGGCGAGCAGCCGAAAAAGATGCCAAAAGGGTAAAGAGGGCTCAAAAAGCGCATTGTTCCACGACAAAGAAGCGCAAAACTGGGTTGCGCTCTACAGAGGCCAAGGCCACAGCATCTCAGGATTACTGCCCAGGAGGATTCTGAGTGTTTTAGCCATGTTGTGAACTTCCAAACAAGAGTGAACTTTCAAAGTCAGTTTTCTCAACTCTTGATTTTCGCCTATGTGCCTTCGCTAGAACATCTGTCATTTTCTAACAAAGACTGATAGAGTCGTTCCGTTTTTTGCACTAGGCTCAGGAGGCCTTTAGCAGTGCAATAAAGCTTTATCTCTCTTCTTACTCATCATTTAAAATTTTTAGAACACATTTTATAATTACTGCGATGTGTGCGCAAAACAACATCCATGTTTTGGAAATTTTATTTATGGTTACAAGAACTAGAAAAATCAACTAATAGCTTCTTTGCACAAGTTGATGCTTTGGGAACATAATAATATGAAAAAATAATTTCATTTAGCAATAATTATCTCTTTAAGTGTGAAGAGCATTAATTAGTATAATTATGCTTGTAACTCAAAAACTACAAGAGGTATTTGAAAACGGTTTTCATATTTGGAATCCTCACAATCATCCACATACACACACCAAATTTCATCACAAACAGTACATTAATAAAAAAATTAGTTTTACTTGCCACGTCCCCCCTTAAAATAGGCTTGATTCTTACGACTTAACAATTTTGGACAATTCAATATGATAATATAATGAAACAAGTTGCAAGTGAAGGCCCTAAAGCACATTAGAATCTGGTTAAGTATAGTGGATCTGAAGAATGCCTATGCTTTTCTCTTTTCGGCTAAGTACCTTTTTCTCCTCGGTGCCTTCCTTGGAGCCGTCCACTTCGTCTTTCTTCTTCTTCTCCTTGGTGGGCTTGGGTGTGCTCCCTCCCGTCTCGTCGTCGTCCTTTTTCCTCTTGGGTTTTGTCACGATGATCTTCTTGGCCCGGTGGAAGAACTTGTGCTGTAGCAGCCTGCGCGATGAAGAAGGGTGCATCAATGTAACGTGACCTCTCAGCATACCTGCCAAGTTCAAAGATTCTCGATCAGGGAGATTTCCGCAACGAGGGGGGGGCACAAAAACACAAGGACATACAAACGAACAAAAAACATCGCGAAAAACAAAAGGCGGTGGAAGGGGGGTCTCAATCGCAAGCATCAACATCAGCGTTGCGGTCTTATAGAGGCTAGAAAGGGCCGAACACACGAGGGTAGAGTTTTCACTAAGGTGAGAGTCTCAAAGGATCAACACAACTAGCAGAATATATATCAGTCCAAACAACTCGCTTGCGTCTTCCTGGGATACACGTGAACGGACTGGACGGCGCAGCTGGCTGCGGCAAAAGTAGGGGTCAAAGCTAGATTCTTTTGACAGGAACGCCGAAACGCGTCTGGCCCCTTTTTATTGCAATAGCAGTTATATGGACAGTCCAGGCTGTTTTTTTGCCGTCGCCACCACCACCGTCCTTCACAGTATATGTATACGTATCTATATATTGAACACTCAAAAAAAAAAAAGCCGCCCGCGCTCGGCGTTGAGCTCGTCGCGATGCGCCAACGCGTGCTTATCTCTCACATGTACTTTGCCCATGGATGGATGAAGGCCTGTGCGCGCGTGCTTATCCTTCGGTGGGGAAATCGTGTGCCTTTGGCTTTCATTGAAACGAAAGCGTTAGTTGCCGGCCCCACAAAGGTCAATTTGGTCCCTGCACAGGCCCCTTTTGCGAAAGCAGCGCGCTTTTCATACACAGCGAGGTATAACATCTTGTTAAATTGTACTTATCTGTACCTGTGATTACGTACCGTGCATCGTTTTTGTTTAAACAGCGCGTTACGTGTCGAGCCGTAAACGTTCTTAGTTTGCTCTCGTTCTGTGAGTATTGCTTTTGTGCGTCATTTTTGTGTGAGCAGCGCGCTGCACGTTTTGATCTGCTTGCCGTTCTCAGCGATACATTCCAAGTTGTTGCTGTCGCATTTATTGCTTCAACTTTGCGGCCAAACTACCTTTTTTTATTTTTTACGTATTTACTGCCTTTAACATACCGCTGCGTGCCCTCGGAGCTCGTAGATCGCTACCGCGGTTTTGTGCGCGGCGGTTGCGGCAAACCGTAGTTCATTTTAAAATCCCCATGCGCTTGGCTGCGCACGCGCCTTCAAAACTAAGTCATTTTATGCCACCTACGATAGCATCTGCCGCAGTTTTGTCCGCAGAGTTTGCGGAAAGCAGCATTGCTTTGACTGGCTGGGCGCACACTTTGGGGGTTTCGTCAGTTACATCGTCGCCATACATGATCGTGTCAAGAGCGACCGTGGTTTCGTCCACAGCGGTTGTGGCAACGATAATCACACGCACTGTAGGAGAGAGTGCGGGCGCCGGTCGCACAAGTACTCTGAGCTTTGCACGAAGCTCAGAGTACGCGGCTTCTGCCTTCGTTCGACAGTTTCCGTACTAAATTTTGTATCACCTGCCGCGATTAGGAAATGTGTTCGGAACATTCGAATTGAAGCCCAATGAAGTAAAATTTGGCTGGCGAATTTCAAGAATTCGTATCTGCCATGTTTTCCCATCACTGAGCTTATACTGTACGTTTACAAGAATGCCTCTTATACTCACTTATAATAAAATGGGGTAGGTTCGAAAAGACTGGAGCGGATTGAGCTGTTTTTTTGTCAATGCGGCCAGATCACGCACAGAAATTTCGATTTCTGGGAGTTTTTTATAACAACCGTACAACCGGAAAAAAACAGACCAAATCCGGGAGTCTCCCGGCCAATCCAGGAGACTTGGCAGGTATGTCTCAGTTAACAGGAATATATTAAACGAAACTGCTGCTCGAAATGAACAAGTGCCTCCAACAAGATTGGCACTGTTCTTGTATTCTGCGCCCTTGGTCATCCCCCTGGATCCCATGCACCAGAATGTTATAGGGAAGGGAGGGGGAAGAAAGAATTCATGATGAATCTCTAAATCTGTCTAAGGTCACAACTCACAAGTCATCGTAATAGTTCAAATAAACTAGTGAATACACAAAACAATCAATTTCATTCAGGACTCTTATAAAAGCCCCTAAATTTTAAGCAAACCAAAGTCTCCTTTGTACTAACATGGTTTTTTGTTTAGCAGTGAAGCTTTAGCATTAATTTTGCACCAATTAGGAAAGAGAATGAAATGCTACTTTGAGACTGTTTAAACATGCAGCCAGAAACTACCATGAGCTCATAGTCACCTGATAATGCTCCAAACAAGCAGGCAAAAACACACGTTACGCTGTTCACGCCTGTACCCAGATTCTGCCAATAGGACTGACTACGATCCCGCTATGTTATGGATGAAGACTATTTTTTTGTCATCTCGGTAATGATAGTTAGATGTTAAACAGCCTTTTAAAACTCTTGCTACTGACTATCCGAAAAGACACGTCATCTACGAAATGGCAGTAACAAAGCGATATTCTGCAGTTGCTAAGAAACGTGCAGAGCATTCATACATCAGCTTGCCGTGACACCTGGTTCTTACGCCACACCTATCCCACTTCTAAAAGGTGGACAACTGCAAGCGCAGACAACTGTCACCACAAAACAATAAATATATCATATACCATATTTTCTCAGGTATAACCCGCACAAAACACACAGAAAATTCAGAGCTAAACTTCAGCTACGAGCCATACAGCTGAAACTTGCAGTAACAAAACCCTGTAACCACAAAATAAATTCCTCTACTCGGCGAACCCCTATATTTCAATGCATTTCGTATTTCTTGACAATGAAATGTTGCTTAACTACAATATCACAACAATCCATAAGAGCGGGAAATTTTCTCAGATTTTTCTGCTCACACATGGTCAGCATATTCCGAAAGGTGCTCACATGTCTCTCCTTCCAGCTTTAATGTGTTAAATCGCCGCCCCGCCCTCTTGTACTTGCGTGGGTGCCACCATCTTTGTTTATAAAGCTGGCACAGCGCTCAGAGCAGTTGAATGCACCAGACGTCATTTCTAACATGTCGCTTGCAGAGACTGATTTTTTTTTAGTGAAAAGCCGCGAGAGCATACTCAAATCATAGCTGATGCTTGAGACACGAAAGTTCGCTGTTTGCTGCTCTATGCCTGAGAGGTCTTGCTTGTGCATGCAAAGCTTTTTGTTTGAAGAATGGGTGCGTGACCCATTTTAGCAGTGTTCTGAGACAGCTGCAAAGCGATGTGGACAATGAGTGAAGGAGGCGCGATTGCCACGGTTTCATCGCTGTCTGTGAATTGGATGCTTTTGAAACAATGTGGCCATACCTCTGTATGCACATGACGATGCACAAAATACGCCGCACTGAGAAAGAAGATTGGTGTGTGAAAACATAAAAATAGTTGATGAGGCAAGCTAACCGAATTTTTTCATTTATTTTTAATTTTCTGGCATTTTTTTCTATTTCTACTGTGTTATTTCATGATACAGAAATTGTTACGACAGCAAAACTTTTCAGCTCCCAAGCCGATTTCGGCACTGTTAGTTTCAATGTGAGGCCAATTTCGTTGCACAAGTAGGCATCACAACGCTAGAAAGGGGGTAAAGCAAGGTAGGAGGCTTCAAGGCCACACATGGGGATATTTGTTACACTTTTTGCTTTTCTGTGTTTCGTTGATGGGAGGTGCAGGCTGCATGCAAGAGCAGGTTGAATGCCAAGAAATATGACAAATGCATCTCTTTACTGAACTTTCTTTAGGACCAGTTTTACTGAAACGATGTGCACCCACGCTTATACTCAGTGTCATACACATAAGGTGTTTTCTGGAGCCTAGTGGTACTTCTTGCACAGATGCGTTCGATCCAAGAAACAGTTTAATGATTTTACCACCTGTTCTATGTCTTCTTTTTGTCTTTAGGCTGAGTAATAAATGAACACGATTTCTTTGGCAGATGTAAGCAAGACCCAATATACCATAGTAAATAAGCTCTTTTGGGTTGCTTAGCAACTTTTCATTTTTGCTTTCTGGAGGTTTTTTCTGCACTTATTTTTTTCTGTATAACTGATGGGGAGAAATGCAGCCAGGCATCGTCAGCAGAAGCAGCATCTGCGGTACAGATCTGGTAGAAGTTAGTCAGTCATATCTTCGATAAAGGCAAAAGAAACTGGTTGCTTCAAGAACATGGAAGCAATGGCTCACGTGTTCATGAACTCCACCACGGACTCCCTCGTTGTGAACAGCTGTTCATACTTGGCCTTCCCTGTGGCCCAGGGAGACTCCAGGAGGCAGTCCACTGCTTTGGCAGCTGCATCGAGAATGTCAAGATAACATGGATCACACACAGCTTCTAGTAATACTCGCAACATTCTTATGATTTGATATCTGACGCGCCTTCTAATGTGACACACACTTGTTGACCACACAAAAAGTGACATAGTGAGCCCCGATTTGAATCACGGTAGCAGTATAAAACTAAGTCGCAGTGTAATGATAATGAACTTAAAAATTGGGGGACCCTTAAGCTTTGCTTTTAAGAGCTGAACGCAGCAGTGAAATCCAGCCCCTAGTGCGCCCTTCAACCGCTAAGTGCATACTTATTAATATGTTTTGTTACACGTGTGTGCGCGCGCACACATGCACACACACACGCACGCACGCATGCACGCGCACACACACACACACACGCACACACACACACACACATATGCACGGACACAGTAGATTGTACCAGCACGCGCGCGCAAATGGTATATACAGGTTCTTGATCTAAAGCAAGAGTCGCATGGCCTCCCAGATACAGACCACACGCTCACCATTTCGGAGGCCATAAAGAGTCTCACAATGCCTCACAGATGGCAGCACATTATTTAGCGTTTGCTTGATCAACGCCTTTGGAAAAGCATGACATGTTTTCCGCTAGATGGACATAGTTGTCTATTTTTAGAGCTGTTCGAAAGTTCCTGTGTTTTTAGTGGTGACGGCTGCACTATTCCGGCTTTTTTCGTCATAGTTTGATGACCTTCCAAATGCGCCTACAAATCGCCGAATGGACTCGTTTTCATCGTGACACCTGTCGAACAAAATGCGTTAAGGAGAATCCTTCTACTACATGGCATTTGTGTAGTGTTTTTTTCTGAAGCAGATGCAAGTAACATCATGGCTTTGTGGTGGGCCACCTGCTTGCCACGGGAACGGCCTGGGTTCGATCATCAATGTGACCGAAAATTTTATTCTGTATTTTATGTGCTTCTTTTTGGATTTTTCGCTCACAACTAATGGTGTCGATGCCGGAATATCTGCGACACGAACTCGACACATTAGTTAATGGGAGGCATCAGCGAGAGGAACTCGCTTCAATTTATACTACCAGCCGTTTTTTATTTAGATCATTTAGCATATACGATCTAAGTTTGTGAGCGTGTTCTTGCATTTAACCTATGGCAAAGTGTGGCTGGGAATCAATTCCCTGACCTCCTCCTCGTCAGCGGCACGGCACGGGCATGGCGAGCAGAGACACACTATAATGGTGGACGTTGTCACATAAAAAATTGTCAATTTCTATGACACGTGAATGGCCGCTGACACGGGATGAGACAGGCCTTTGCAGTGCAGCCAAGGTGATGATGATGGCTGACATGTCCGGCCATAATATAACACGTGTGGGGGTGCTGACACCCCCCCCCTGTAAAGTTGTCTGCGCCGCGTGGCGCACGTGTCTCGCCCCAAGGCTTTATTGCGGTGGTGACCACCGCCGGGCGATAGATGGCGTTGTGTTCGCTTTCAGTACCACTGTTGGTAGAGTGGCAGCGCCAGTGGTGGCCCCTGGCGGAAGGCGGGCCTTGGTGGTGGGCGAGCGTTGAGCGAGCCTCTTCTGCGCGTGGCGGCTGCCGCGAACGGTTGTCTGTAGCGCGGGTCCCCGGTGCTCGGCACCGCGGGCTTCGCGCCGGGGTCCCGCGTGTAAGGTCAGGCGTTGGCGACGCCGCCTTGGGTATGTGCTAGTGTGTTGGGTGTGTTAGTGTGTGTTTATCATGTTATTGTGTGTTTAGTGTGTCCCTGCGTTATGTTGTTTGTATGGTAGCATGTTAATTAAAATTGGTGTATCATTCGGCAGACGATATCGTCGTCTAAATTGGTTAATAAATGTATGTATGTGGGTGCTTGGTACCGATCGTGTCAACTGTGTCCGTTCACTTCGAGAGCGTGGCGTGGCGGTGCGCGCGTTCGCCTCGCCGAGACCCCACACTGGCTGCCCAACGTGGAGCTCTTGGAGTATCAGACGACAGTTTTTGCGGTTCGGTACAGGGATTTTGTTAGAGCCGGAGTAGAGTAGGCCTAGGGGGGACTTCTTTGCTAGCGTCGGTGGTGTGCTTTGTTGAGAAGCGAGGGGATTGGTTTTGTAACGTGTTTCAATTTGTCGGCAGGTTGACTTTCTTTTTTTTTGCTCGCAAGTGTTCTTATTTTTTGTTGTTAGTTTTCAAAAACGTTGTTGAATTAGGACGAGAGCCATGCGATCCGCATCCTGGGGGAGCAAGGCCTAGAGCACGTGGTTTGTAGGCCAGGCCCGAAGCGAGTGAGTACGGAAGCCTCGTGGGTGGTCCGATTTTCTGTAAATAGCTTCTTCTATCTCTTTGGGCTCAGGGAGCCGGGCGTCGTTGCTGACTTGTATTGCGGCTCGACGCCGGGGCGTCGTGACACCGCCCGGGGCGGTGGACGCCGATCGCTCGGTAAGCTGCTGTGTGCGGCGAGCGATAGGGCCACCTCACAGAGTGGACGTCTCCTCGCGGCTGCCTCTTCTGCGCCTAGGCTGGGTGCTGGGTGGATGCCGGTTGTTGCCGCGCGACTCATTAGGCCTAAGGCTCTACGCAGCCGCCTGTCGCACGTGGCACAACTAGGTGGATCGTGGCGTTGAGGTGCCGCACTCCGCTTCCCTCACTTTTTTTTTTCTTGTGAGCACGAGTTAGGAAAAGTGATTTTTGTTTTATTTTGATGGGCGTCTCGGCCGCCACCGATGTATTAGCTAGCAGTACTGACCACCGTACCACGTGGCCGAAAAGCCTGAAGCTCCCTCCCCTGGGCCGCGCTCCTTTGTTTCTTTCGAGTTTTGTTTTTTGTTGATGTATTCAGCGGGAGGGATGTCATCCACGGCCGGCTGTCCTGCACATCGTCAGCGTCGTTGGCCAGGAATGCGGTCGTGAGGTCGGGCGATGGAGATGCCTGGGACCTGCGCAACTGCCTGCAGTCCGGCGCCCTCGCGAGTGCTGGTCGCAACTGGAAGACGTGTCGGCGCTAGCGACGGATCGTCGCGCCGACGGCAACGTCGCTGTTGCGGGGCCGGTACTGAGGTGAAGCCTAGCCGGACAGTGCAGCAGTGTCGACCAGCGGCGGTGTCGTGGTGCAAGGACATTATGCTCGTGCGATATCATTTTTTTGTTAAAGCTTGTGTAGCTAATTTTCGATTTCGGGATATGGTTTGATTTAAGGTTGGGGGAATGTGGGGGTGCTGACACCCCCCCTGTAAAGTTGTCTGCGCCGCGTGGCGCACGTGTCTCGCCCCAAGCCTTTGTTTCGGTGGTGACCACCGCCGGGCGATAGATGGCGTTGTGTTCGCTTTGAGTACCACTGTTGGTAGAGTGGTAGCGCCGGCGGTGGCCCCTGGCGGAAGGCAGGCCTTGGTGGTGGGCGACAGTTGAGCGAGTCTCTTCTGCGCGTGGCGGCTGCCGCGAATGGTTGTCTGTCGCGTGGGCCCCCGGTGCTCGGCACCGCGGGCTTCGCGCCGGGGTCCCACGTGGAAAGTCAGGCGTTGGCGACGCCGTCTTGGGTATGTGCTAGTGTGTTGGGTGTGTTAGTGTGTGTTTATCATGTTATTGTGTGTTTAGTGTGTCCCTGCGTTATGTTGTTTGTATGGTAGCATGTTAATTAAAATTGGTGTATCATTCGGCAGACGATATCGTCGTCTAAATTGGTTAATAAATGTATGTATGTGGGTGCTTGGTACCGATCGTGTCAACTGTGTCCGTTCACTCCGAGAGCGTGGCGTGGCGGTGCGCGCGTTCGCCTCGCCGAGACCCCACACACGTGCTACCGCACTGTAATCTGCATTGTGCTGCCGTAACTACTAAAGTGGTGCAGAGGACATTCAAAAGCTCACCATTGAAGTACTCGACTTTGTGGCTCAGCAGGGTGGTCTTCTTGATGGGCAGTTTGTCTCTCAGGTAGCGAGCCACATCGTACTCCAACTTGGTCGGCTTCTCGCCCACTGCCAGCTCAGCCTGTAAACAATGGTCCACAACAGCGTCTTTGTTTGCAGAAAGGCAGACTTAACCGATACTTGTGCAAACAAACCTGCGACCTTAGCATTCAGCACACTAGATTTTCTTGCATAAAATAAAAGGGGGGAAAATGAAAGCGGACATTACTGCGCCTTGGTACAAGCTTGCATCAGAGAGCCTCGTATATTGTTGCATGCTCAAGCGAAGTATTTATTTCCCACTACTGCACGCTACAATTTGCTTAAGCAAGAGCACAATGTGATACCCTTAAAAATAACTACAGCGAGACAGTAACGCTTCTTCGCGTCTTACGACTTAACCGATACTTGTGCAAATAAACCTGCAACCTTAGCATTCAGCACACTAGATTTTCTTGCATAAAATAAAAGGGGGGAAAATGAAAGCGGACATTACTGTGCCTTGGTACAAGCTTGCATCAGAGAGCCTCGTATATTGTTGCATGCTCAAGCGAAGTATTTATTTCCCACTACTGCACGCTACAATTTGCTTAAGCAAGAGCACAATGTGATACCCTTAAAAATAACTACAGCGAGACAGTAACGCTTCTTCGCGTCTTACGACTTAACCGATACTTGTGCAAATAAACCTGCGACCTTAGCATTCAGCACACTAGATTTTCTTGCATAAAATAAAAGGGGGGAAAATGAAAGCGGACATTACTGCGCCTTGGTACAAGCTTGCATCAGAGAGCCTCGTATATTGTTGCATGCTCAAGCGAAGTATTTATTTCCCACTACTGCACGCTACAATTTGCTTAAGCAAGAGCACAATGTGATACCCTTAAAAATAACTACAGCGAGACAGTAACGCTTCTTCGCGTCTTACATTATGAAGCTGGCTCTGTAACTTTATTTAGGAGGCGTTACTTTAGGAATGCTATTTATAATACCTCATTGTTGGGGACCACAGCATTTTGTCAAAAGTAAGAGCTCATATACTCCCAAATCAGCAAGTGTGAGCTAAGAAATTCTTTTGCACAATAAGGTTTCCATTTCACCACACGAAACAAAAGGAAGTATGTGTGTTTTTAGTAAACCCAAAGTGAGTTTTTATGACTATAAAAATTCAGGCTTACCCTATGGTATAACTGCTCTGAACCTGAGGCTTTACACCTTTCTTGTTGATCTTTCACTCGCCCCCCTCCCCCTAGCACAGTGTAATTCTAATATTTAACTCACACAATTACAGGCCTGCTAAATTAACTAAAGGTTTGAAAAGCACAACAACTGGAGCCAAGGATTGCTGAACTTTGAATTTACCAAAGTACAAAGAACTGTTTCAATACTCAATGTTCATCATACAATCAAGTATTTTGCCAATTTTATTATGTGGGGATACAGTGAGCAGGCATTTACTTTTTTGTTAATACATCAGTTGCTACCCAACACAATGCTACGGTTGCAGCTAGAATTATATGCACGATGGACAAAGAAAAGTACAAGCCAGGTGATTTCATCAAACATTCAGAAGTTAAAATTGTGCCCGTGACATATTTCAGAAGTTGATATTACAAAGTAGGTTGTGGGCAAAGTCTCAATATTGTAATGGCTTTAAAAAAGAGTCAGGCTTTTGAAGACAGTTTGGCAGCTGTTTTGGTATAGCAAGATCAGGCATTACCTAAGGTGCATCGAAATTTATATAGAAGACCGAGAAATTGTTGATGCCCCCAGAGAATCATGAACAAGCTCTATGACACGGCATTTTCTAATGTCGACCAAAAGTTTTCCAGGTGTGTACAGCCTGCCAATTTTTAATATCGCACAAATATCATCATTCCAAAAGTGTAAAGTGCAGAGACTTGCTGAAGTGCTAATGTGCCCAAAGTGCTTTCCAGTGCAATCGCTGTCTGCAACGCTGCTAGCTTCATGAGCACAGACAGCTGGCCATTGTTATCTACGACGCCTCATTGTTCATAGACAATGAGGTGTCATACATGCTGATATATTAGGTTTATTATTGTTTTTTGTCACGCTGATATTATAGAACATATGTGGGTCTAGTAAACTGAAAGGAATATTATGAATGCATTGCAGATGGTTCATTCTAGGAAGCACACTGTAGTGCTTGGCACAGTTTTATACTTTGTAACACCACTGTGCAGATAATGATGCTTGAAATAGACTGTGCCTTGCACCCAGGCATAACAGGGCCACTTTTTGCAGTTACAGGCCGCTGGCTTGCCACGTGGTCAGCGCATGCACGAAGACATAAAAATCTGAAGTGTACTTGCATTTAAAATCACCGAAAAAAGAAGTAAGCCTTATGATGCGAGATAGTGCCTCAAGATCTCTCAACAAGTCATTGTTAGAACTAATGATTATGCATTATTGAGGCTAAAATGAAGTAATCTACTACATTTAGAAGCAGGCTAGATATATTCATAATGTCTCTAACAGCTATACAAAATACTGAAATGTGACTCGGCATTTCAACTAAAATGGGTATTGTTCTCCGACAGACACAATATAGCTATTCAAGTAACAGGTACCAACCTTTTTTAAGGCATAGTAGACGCATTTGGGAAGTGCCATTCAACAGCCAATAGTATCGGTGGAAATAAATTTGTTTATATACACTCCATACGCTCCTAGCAAACTATTTTCTACACTGGACGTGCAATAAAAGGCCAAGCAAACGAGAAAGCTCTATGAACTTTGTCTAGACATGAAGTCATGCAACGTGGTGTCATAGCTGACGCTCCAGCGGTATTACATGCGAAGCCCATAAAGGGGCTGGGCTATTGCATGCAGTGATTGTATGCTGTTGTCGCTTGACGCGACGCAGGCAGCACCACACACCGCATAACCAGCTGTAGCACACTGTGCGCGTGCTTGCGCCACAGACAATTCTTCCTTTTGTTTTTCGACCACATTGATGAGGATTTTTATTTTGATTAATTAATATGTCGGGTTTAACGTCCCAAAACCACCATATGATTATGGGAGACCCGTAGTGGAGGGCTCTGGAAATTTCGAGTACCGGGGGTTCTTTAACGGGCACCCAAATCTGAGTACATGGGCCTACAACATTTCCGCCTCCATCGGAAATGCAGCTGCCGCAACCGGGACTTGATCCCGAGACCTGTGGGTCAACAGTCGAGTACCTTAGCCACTAGACCACCGCGGCGGGGCTTGATGAGGATTTTAATGCAAGTCTTGTTCATCTTACTTTTCAAGCGCCTTCATGATGCTGTATACGCACAGGCAAAACTAAATACAGCATAGCCCACTGTAGCATATTCAGCAAAACAGAAGCCTTCGTCCTCTTGTTCTTCGAGCGCCTTGATGATAATACTAATTAGAGACATTACTACTACCAAGGCTAGGAAAACATGACAACAGTGCGCATGTATAAAAATAGGAAGCAAGCAAAAACTAGGAGAGTGAAAATAAAAGAATACGACCAAAAATTTAAAGGGGCTATTAAACACTTATTTGAGTACCCATAAAATTATTTCACTGGAAAAGCGTATTGCCCCACAAATTCAACGCCACAAAAATTTTAAGTATCCGTCAAGTACGAGCAGAGTTACAAAGATTTTTCACACGGTGCGATTCCCTTCTCTCTTCTCTCACCCCGACGAAAGCGCTGGAAGCCAAGCAGGGATGTATGGAAGGAGCAAACAAAGAATGTAACGCGCGCCTTGTGACCTTGAGCACTTTTTTCTTTTTTTTCTTTTAATACGTGGCTTTTTCAATGCGATCTCACGCGCGCGCGTGGACAAGTGATGGTTTTTTGCGGTGATCTCTGTAACGACCGAGCGTGCCATGTTCAAATCAGCTAATGGTTGATAGATGGGCTTACTACGAGTGATTTTGGGGCTTATTGTGCGATTTGTGGAGAGAAGAGAAAGCAACTTTTACCTGACTGATAATTAATTGTGAATTCCAGGCCGCCTGCTGTGCTATAATAGTTGGCTCGTGTGTTGTCGAGTGCCTCTACTAACCGATTGGCAGCATTTTCTGACTATGCTCAAAAAGTGTCACAGGGCCCCTTTAAATGAAGAGAAAAACCACAAAATCACACAAAAGAAAAAGCAAAAAACGAAGAACAACAGAGAAGGCTGCCCAGTTTTGCACTTCCTTCAGGCTTTGTACTAGAATGAAGCTGCCTTAATTTAAGGGAGATAGCGTTCAGGTGCTTGTTTTGTAGAAATTCTGGTGCCACCATGATCGTTTGTGAGCAGAATATCATCTTGTCCATGGTCGAGAAATCAAGAAACATGCAAATACCTAAATAATAAAGACCTTGGTCCCCGCCGGAATCGAACCCAGGCAGCCTGTGTGGCAAGCAGGTGTTCTACCAAAGAGCGACTCCTTATAGCTCCCAACTGCTTTGAACAAAATCTATACGAATGTCATGTAGTGAAAAAGGCTTCCTTAATGCATCTAACATTGCACGGTAGAAGCATAGAATTGATCCAGGCATCAAAACATGCAAATCGCACAAGTGGGTGCTTTAAAGGCCCACCTATTGCAACGTGCTCAGACATATTCATCATGAGCCGCAAAAGCATCAACAAAGTGAACAGCTGCATAGGTTCGCTCATTGCCTCACGGATACGTAGTGCTGATTCGCAAAAGGAAGAATTGTGGCGTTGTGGGCACATAACTGCCCTTGCAGTAGGCATGCAAGCACAGTTTGAAATGGCCAATGTTACACTACGGTCACTTGTTTCCTTCCAGCATAGTTAGGGCATGCACTGAGAACCGAAGCAAGGCTAGCAATTAAAAAGGCAATGCACACGGGTACCAATTACAATGTTACGTTGTACTCTTGAAGGCAAAGCTCAAGCGTCCTCCATGTTTTTTGTTTGTTTCTTTATCTGGGTTCACAAGTTTGTTGAGGGCCAGAAGTTTGCCACAAGCAAGTGTACTGCGCAAGATATCTTTCAAATAAAAAATCTTGTGTTTTACATTTAAGTGAAATTGTGAAGTGAGTGCGTAACATATTGCACAGCACAAGAAAAGCTGACACAAGGCTCCGCTTGCAAATTGTCTTCCCTGCCCCGCGTTATAATGTAATTTCTTTATTATTGTGAGCAACTGAGGTGATTATGCAGTTTCTTCAGTGACCTCATGCAAGCCTCTTTCCCTCCAACCGTTTGTCACTACACTGCGCAGATCCAAAACTGCAGTTACGAAAAAGTTATTTCGACGGGCACAAAATGTGCGGCCTGTGTGGCACGTTCTGAGTTTTTGTGAAATTATCAGGCAGCATATAACATTGTCGGAAACATCTGCTATTTGATGCGGTGCAAACGGGATCATTTATCATTCAAAACAAGCGTGACCGGCAAGAGCCCACAGCTAATGCTAATTCACGGACGACATGTCCATCAAACGCCTACAGCTGACGTGTAACATGCCATGTCGCCGACTTGAGAACTCATGAGCGCATTTCGTAACTTGCGCTAAGCTGGAAGCTCCAGACATATGCAGCAGTAATCAGCATACGTTTTATTACAATATGCGGTGCTTGTACGAGTGTTCCACGTTTACGTTTCACGAATAAAAATAAAGAAATGCCAGTGTTTTCAAGGCACGGAGAAGTCGGGCGGACGGTACAGTTCACAACCGTCACAACCGCGGTCTGAATGACCTGGAAGTCTAAAGAAAAAAAAGCTACAAAGACAGAATTGTTAAAGGAAATACGAAGAGACGTGTTTACCGGCGAAAACAAAACAAAGCGTAAGAGCTGACTCTACCAGTCTGACGACGTGGGCGCTTGAAACCGGCGCAAGCCTCAGCGACAAAAAGTAACAACACAGGCTGTGTTTTGAAGAGAACATGTCAGAGCGATGTGACCGTTTGTCACCATTCGAAATCACAGTACCGTGACTGTTTTTTTTTTTTTTTTTTTTTTTTTTTGTAGAGCTGTGTCTGATATTCGGCAGTCAAGCTGTCACGCAGAGAGTTGACACATTGCCACGAATTGTAAGAATGACGCAGCCGCTGTGGATGCAGAAACTTGGTACCCCAAACAAGAACGCAGTGAGGTTGTCGTACAGCTGTGTCGTTTTCGGCGTCATCCACCAGAAAATAAGCATTACTTACATCTTTTTCTCGCTTCTTGCGGTTCTTCCTACGTTCTACCTGCGCCATTTTGACGTGGACAACGCCATCCCCCTTGTGGCGTAAAGTTGTACGATCTTATCGTCAAAATCCTGGCAATGGTCAAAAAGTGCATATAATGCAGCCACGAGTGGGCGCAGCGAGCGCATGCGTAATCTAAACCGAAAAATCTTGCTGGATTGCCCTAACTCGTCGAAGAATATGATTATTTGGTTTTGGGGTAAGGACTCATGACGCAGAGCTTTGATCATGAGCTCGGTGGGTACCAAAGAACACTATCTGGCTTCCAGGCATATCACAGAGGCGCCAGCTGTACCGACGGGCATAAAGTTTCTCGAAAAAATACGGCTGGGTAAGAACCAGCGAACTGAGCGAGTGATATATGTTTGGTGGTCTGTTTTAGCAGCTCCTGGCCTTGGGTTTAGGCATACCCACGAAATGTGATAGAGCGATGGTGACCCGAGGGCACACCACGTACGGACAGGCATTCGCGTTTGCACCGGCCCATACAGTGCTGGAAAAATTTTGTTTAATCTTTGGAAGTTCTGTAAAAACCCCTCCCCATTTAATTGTGTGTGAGATGGAGGGCCTATAATCGTATTAAATTTGTGCCTCGAAAGCGGAAAAAAGCACGCGCATCGGTTAGGCACCCTCTCGTAGTAGCACATAGGGATTCAAAGAAAGCTTTCATCGTACCTCCATGGTAATGTTGTTGCGGTTATTGTCGCCCAAGAAAACTAGCCTGCTCATAACCCATAGGAAACTCGTCCAGCTCCACGAATGACCAGTTTGCGCCCTTGCCGAGCCTTCAGTAAAGTTATTTCACTCGCTCACAATAAGCTGCACGTGGTGGCGAGAAGCGCGAGATGGGGCATATACGGCGAAGGCAGGAACGGGCACTTGCTGCGCTCTAAAATACACCTGCTATTCAAATCGCAAACGCAGTGCTTGATTCATTTTGGAGGTGAAGCTCTCTAAGTCATGGGTCGCGCGTCCGCGATGTATGTAATAGTAGTGTAAAGAGGTTTATTGGGCGAACCAAACGGGCAGGTGGGAGATTCAAGATAGCGACAGGACGAGGAAGATGGAGGAGCTCGAGCGCCGATCTCGTGATGCCTTACTCTGCGATGATGCTTGCTGTTCCCTTTTGTTGTCATCATTCCTTCATTATAATTACCCCCGTTCAGAAAGATCGAGCCATCCTGGCGATCTAACAGGTGGGAACGAGCGGGTCGAAGTACGGCGTCAAGCGGTCCACGTGAACAATATCGTGTCCACGCCGACGATGGTCACCGGGTGGCGTAAGCGGTTCAATGGCGTAATTGACGGGCGATGTGCGCTCTACCACGCGGTATGAACCATGGTAATTTGAAAGTAGCTTGGTAGACAAACCAGGTGCACAGGGTGGTATACATACAGCCATACAAGGGTTCCAGGAGCGAACTTTGCGGCAGTAGGGTGGTCGTCATCGCGGGCCTTTTTATGGCGTGGCTGGTCAGCCGTAGTAAACTGCTTCGCTAGTTGGCGGCATTCTTCGGCGTGACGGGCGGCTTCAGACACGGTCGTGCACTCAGATACATCTGGTGCGTATGGCAGCAAAGTGTCAATTATTGACACTTTGCTGATTGATTGTGGCAAAGTAGTAGTAGTAGCAGTAGTATTAGTCGTAGTAGTAGTAGTAGTAGTAGTAGGTAGCCATCACTACAGCCGGGCTAGAGAAGCGGCACGCACGCACCCCTTTCAATTGTGGAGGAAAGCCATGCACGTTAATGATAAATAAAAAGATAGTTGTTTCTGATGAAATAACTTACAAAGTGGAGTATTGGTGACTTGATCTCTAATTAATCTCTAAATACGCCCTGAATTTGATGCTTACTAAAAAAAAAACTGGTGTCAGAAGGGCGCACTTTGGGCACTATATATCTGAGCAAAATAGGTTTCAAAGTAATACCACAGTAATACTCGCTGGGCGTTACCTCCTTCGTTTAAGAGATCGCTTCTCGGCCTCTTAACGGCTGAGTGTAAGGCCCCCGGGATGGCTCTATGCTCTCCCAAAGTAGAGTACAAAGTACTCTAAATCGTTAACCCGCTTTCCTAAATACATGTAACTGAAACTCCCTGCAACAGTTTCATTGTGGGACGGCTCAGTGCTCTCCCATAGTTGAGTACGAAGTACTCGAAATCGTTAAACATTTTTTTCTAAACACACGCCTCGTGGTGGTTGCAAGTGTGGCATTGAGGCCCACGGGACGGCTTTAAGCGCTCCCATAGTAGAGTACCAAGTACTCTGAATCTTTACCCAGTTTTTCTCGTTACCCACAGCGCTGCTTGTGCGACCATTTCCTCTTCATTATGATGTGGAAGTACGTTCCCTATTTCTCGCGGCACCCCAAAGGTCACTGCAATTATTGCAGTCTCCGTTTGCACTTGGTTTGCGGCGGAACGCGTCGATCGTCTAACGAGCGCTATTACGTGGCTCACGTCGCGGCTCCATATTATTCATGTGTTTCCACTGGAAAAGTGAGCCTCATCATCGAACAAGTGACACCAAACGATTCGTGAAGTTCAGGGGAACATTTGGACACCAAACATGTGGACCTCCGACGAACGCACGGACCGCAGACTTCCGAAAGGAGTGAGCTCAAGTTGTGGGCGAGCTGCGCCAAACGTCCTCTCGGCGTGGCAGCTCCAACGCCGCCGGCGTCTAGGTGGCCACATCAACAACTACGCAGCTTCCTGCACGAAAAATAGAGCAGCAGGCCATTTCTTCGACACCACGAACAGCAGCAAGTACTTTAAGTATCACGACGGTTGAGGACATGGACCTCGCCACAGCTTCGACAAGCCAAAGCCATTGCCACAGCCTAACGACAAGGTACGCCAGGACCTTTGAGAGAACGACGACAAAGGACGACTGGCACACCGTTCTCACCTTAAGGCAGAAAAAACAGCAAGTGAGATAAAGGAAACAGTGACAGAAGAGACCCGAAAAACAGACGAAGGAAACTCGACCAAAAATCTGACGAGGAAGGGGGGTCAAGCTCCCGCCTCTTCCAAAGGATGATTTTAGGATTGTAATTAGGCCTCACCAGGGCTTACCACAACGCTCAATCACTACACCGGAGATGGCAGCGGCAGTCACCGCAGCTTGCCAACACGCCGTAACAGGTGAGCACTTTCTCTTGCGGATAAAACCGGGATCAAACATAGTCATTATTTCAACATCGGAGCAAGAAGTTGCGGAGCGGCTTCGTCGCATAACCACACTCACAATAAATGGTCGCGCACATGCCGTAAACGTGTACGCGGCGACTGGTGAAGAAGCCCTCAGGGGAGTGATACACGGCATACCATCCCGCACCCCTTCTGAAAAGCTGGTGGCAAACTTGCGAGTGCGAATGCAAGGAGTGGAAATCATACGAGCCCGTATAATGGGAGAAACGAAGAGCGCGACGATCACCTTCTGTGGCCCGACTCTTCCGCGTTTCGTGTATTACTGCGGAGGAGAATTGGCGTGCCCCCATAATGAGCCACGGTGCAAGTGTGCAAGACCTGCTGCTGCAAGGGTCATCATACGGATGTGTGCCCCCAACCAGACTCTCACGTCAGCCGCATATGCGGAACGAGATACCCACCTGACAGACATGTGTGCGTGCCAAAGTGTGCCTCGTGCGGAGGGGAACACGTCACAGGTGACCGCAGCTGTACTCAGAGAATCAAGCAGACGGGGGCGACCCTCAGAAAACCAAAGCGTGTGCCCTGTGCTAAGCGTATGGGGTTTCACTGGTTTTCATCAGAAGAAGAGGAATCGGAGCTTCGCGATGACGGGAAGCCGTGGTCGACGAGCCGACACAGCACCCCGACACGCTACGAGGAAAACGAAGCGTGCACCACCCCCAAGTCTCCACCTCCACGCAAACCAAGATCGAGGTCAAGGTCCCAGAAACGAGCAACAAACCAGCCGATCGAGGCTAAAAGCAGCGGAATCACAGACTCCCGTTCGAGCCAGCACTGAACCTCTGGTGCAGCAGCAGCAGTAAGCTCCGCCTACCACTATGCCGGTAAGCTGGGATGATGTCGCATCTCACACGATCGCACCAATCACACAACACGAGGAATATAAAATAATAATCACAGAAAATAAGCAACTTAAATCTAGCCTTGCGGCACTACAGACAGAGGTAGCAGCACTCAAACAACTTTTGGTTAATAGAACAATCAACCAGAGCACACAAAACCAACAGACACAAATGGACGCCAGCGCAACACAACCAGCTACTTCCCAGCCACAAAATGTAGAGGGACAGCTGCAAGACATAGGAACCCAACTCAAATTTCTGTTTGCAGAGCTGGGCAATCTTAAGAAATGCGTCGACGACTCCATCAAAGGAGTAAAAAAAACAAGGAAACGGGGAAGCTCCTGTTCTGGAGGCCGCTGTTCTAAGGTGTCCGCAACGACTGACACGGATACATTTGAGAGCCCCTGTGATGGCTAGACCCATCACACGCCACCAAGAGAATCTCGAGCTATGGCAGTGGAACTGCCACCCCCTGCGCAACACAGAATCTGCGCTAACACAGTTTGTGCAAGCCACCACAATCGCACCTGATTTCACATGTTTGCAAGAAGCAGGAACACCAAAGCGCTCAATATTTGGATACACACTCCACACAAACAACTCGGGGATGGCTATTTTGTTCAGGATCTCGTCGTTAGCGTATAAACTGTACCAGGGGCCGACATACCCCACCAAAAGCAACAGTACAGTCGTTAAGAGAGGTCGCCCGAAGAAGAAGACGATGATGATACAACATTTTTTATTTATAAAAAAAGGGGGAAAAGGAGGGGAGAATGTCAAGGGTGGTGTCCCCATTCTAGGACACCAGTGGCCACTGCAGTTCGCCAGAATTGATGTAGGAGACCCCTTTGGGTCTTCAGGTCAGGTCGGGTGACGACGGCTTCCCAAGGCTCCCCCAGTAGTGTGAGTATCAGAGGCGACTGAACCTCCATAGGCTTGATCCGGCAGTCCCATGTGACGTGTTGCAACGTCGG